TGTTGCATGAGAAAAGTTTTCTACTGGATAAGGTATTTATGAGGAATTTTTTTGATCTCGAGTATTTGGAATTAGTTTTATTCGCAAAACGATGTATTATACTTTACATGAGTAATTTATTATTGTACAAAAATTTTTTAATTAGTAAATCGAAAATCTTCACTTAAATCTAGGTTTCTCTACTTTACTCAGTTTCATGCGAAGAATTCTGATCCATTCAAGAAATTTAAAACACAAGATAATAATTTCTATTATCAAAAGTATCTACAGGTTGTCCCAGAAATAACTTACCAAAAACTTTTTCCGTATATCTTTATTATTTCATTTAACTTTATCAACTATCTTTTCTTAAATTGTAGGTGAATATAACAAGTTTTTATTTATCCAAATAATCCTCCATATTATTGTGTTTAACTGTCACCTTCGATCAAGATACAAAAGTTTTAATTTCTTTATATTTCCAGAAAAACATTAGGTAGCGCCATTTTTCTTTGATTATTTCGACTTCCTATAATTGTTTTCTTTAAGTTTTGTTTCAAAGAAAAGGTTTTAAATATTTTCAGTCTTCATATTCTAGTAGATCTTGACAAGGGTTCTTTTAATCATTTTTCATGGTTAAATTTTAACATTAAACAAATAATAAATTGTTGAATTAAATTTCATTAATATTTACAGTAGTTTCATTCTTCCTCTCTCGATATGATAGAAAGTATCAGGAAATAAAATTTACTGTCTAGAAAAAGAAGTAGCAAGCATAAGACTGTAAATCACCATTGTAACGTAAAGTACAATTGAGTAATAAAAAAAACTCATAGACATCTTTTTGTCGTGAAGTGAAATGCAATGAAGACTGTAGTAACACATCGCAGCAATTTATTTATAAAAGAATATAAATATATAAATATAATGATATATATAGAACAAAACACATGCTAAACTTGTATGTAGTACCCTACTACAGTATTATACCACTTGATTCAACTTTATTTCATTATTTATAGTTCTTGAGGGAGGGAGTGGATGTGCATTTGCCGTGTACATATTGATGCAAATCTTATTTAATACACCCAAACCTATTCTGGAGGATGTCATAATGTGCGAAATTTGGGTATCGAGATTTAAAAACACTCATATATCTAAAAATGTGAGGATTTTGAATGAATTTGGTGTAATAAGTTCTATATCCGAAATTGATATCCCATTTGTAAATTTCTATGTTTTCGAGAGTTGCAGGTCGAAAAACTGCTGAAAAGCATTCTGAACGCCACATAGAGATAGAATCTGAAGTATACAAGCAATATCAGTGATGCAAATAGCTGCCACACAAGTGTGTATATATTGAAATAGGTGTTTATTGATACGAGAACCTGAATTGGTAGCAATTAAGTTCAAGAATTGCAGTTTTCCTTTGATCACAAAGTGCTTGTTCGTCGTTTTGTGATATCTGCACCAATAGATATTGTTATGTGTGATTCTCTGTGTACACCTTTTTGCGGCAATCTCATCGAGTGCTGTACCGTACATGTCGTTTCATGTATCAGTACTTTAGCGGTACATGCATCAAAAATTTGTTCTGATAGCATGACATAAAATCAAATGTATGATAGCATGCTTAGCTTCTTAAGCACATACCAAGAACAGTTGAAAGAGAAGAAACATGCGAACATCAGAAGCCATAAAGTGCATAAATCAGCACATTCGTCATCGGTCATGAAAATGTAAGAATTTGAAATGGAACACACTGGACTGCATCTAAGGTAATACAAAACAGAAAGTATAAACATTTTGAAGATTTCCTGAAAGAAAAGTTAAAGTTTTGAGATAGCTAAATACAAAATCAGCAAACGTACATACTTTCCTATAGAAGCTGAGTAAAACAGATCTCTATGCTATCGTCTCATAAGATTCTCTAGATATTGCAATATTTTGTAAACATCATTCACCAGAAAAAAAAATGTATCCCAGAAAAATGCAAATTCAGAATGTACGATTAGTGTGATAGTTCCTTCAAATTCACTTCCAATCCTCATTTATGAAGTGTAAGCTATCCATTTTTTTTCAAGTATCTATCTCATTAGATCAAATTCACTCAAAGTCTTCAGTTTTCAAAAATAGGGCGTCCAGTTGCTTGGGTATCGATCTGATTACACCGAATTGACTCAATATCCGGAACTTTCTAAGAAAGGGTATCTACTTTGATGGATATTGTGGCTCGTATCTTGTTCATACCCAGAGTTCGGATATTATAATATCTTCGCTCATTGTCTATATCTGCTCTGCATCTCTCCATGTCTCATATCCAATCCACATCTCATCCATTCACACCGACAAGCACATTATCGCCCTCAACACAGATTGACTTACATCTCAGATATACAAATCGGTTGATTTTCCAGCTTATCAATCTTACATATATTCTATTTGCTATTTGAATGGTCTTCTCCCACAAAAATACTATTTTGACATTACAAGCTAGACTTTTTGCTGACCAATCAATTCAATAGAAATTTTAAATGTAAGAAATTCGGATTTCATTCTATACACGAATTAGCGTGCTTCATATATAACTGCTTGGTCTATTTGTAGAACAAGTTTCCTACTCGATTCGTTTCTTCTGATATTCATTTATCTTAAATAAAAGTGATGAAAGACATCAGAAAAAACCGCACAGTTCGTATACTGTCAGTTATTAGTAATGAGAAAACAATTAGCACTTTAAAAATCAAGAAACAAGCCATTGACCCATATATCTTCCTGAACCGTTCCATTTAAATAGTACATTTTGCCGAAACCACTCATTTTCGTATCTTCAAATTAACCCGACTACTGTTCATGTATTATTTCAACTCAGTACATGATGAGAGTCAGTGACTACAGAAAGAACAAGCAATTTTTAAACGTCTTATCTCAGACTTGTCACCATTAGACCATGTGAAGACACCATCACCTGTTCTACTGTCGTTAAGTCAATCGCTTATGTATTCGTTACCATTCAGAAAGTGAAACGTACCTTGTCCACGCTTCATTCCCTCTTTGATTTTGTCCCAACGATTGGTCATTTATTACGTTAGTTGACTCTTCGTGGAAATACAAATTAAGGTCCTCCGTCTCAGAATTGAAATACCACTTTGGAACATAGGAATCAAGTGAAAATTTCAGGCATGAATGAGCATACTGAGAAACAATTATGGTAAAATTTTCAGCTTTATATGTCTTACTAAACTAGAGTTATGATCAATTTTGTAACACGCCACAAGAATGGAAGTGACTTCATGGCTATAAGAGATTGAGGTCGTAATGATGTCAAATTAAAGCTAGTCTCCATACGGAACTTTTAGTCGAAAAGAATTTCGAAGTTCCATCTAATTCAATTTTTACAAGCATTTTACCGAACTTGTCTGCGAAACTATGTCAAAAGCACAGTAAACTAGACATTTCTCAGCATAGCAGTCATAAATCAAAATTCTGTCCCACGAAAAGTTAAATTTTGTCGGCACCTTTAAAACAAAAATAAATCTATAGGGAAAGCTCAAATCAGGCGAAAGTTATTTTAATTTTGCTGTGCAGAAACCATGTTTGAAGAAAAACCTTAAGAAGTTTCCAAAGTTGATTTTTCGTTGAAAGCTCTGAAAACTGTTTTTAAAATGGAGTATACTCAATAAATCATTTTAAACTTTGAAGAGGGTGTATCAAATTTAGTTAACCAATACCATTCGACATTTTCAAGTGGTATTTTTTTATCTGTCTCCCGATTCAAACATGATTCTACGCTAATGTATTTTATTCTTGCCTATATACGCACTGGCCTTTTCCTTTTGAAATTGAATTTTTTTCAATATCATCCAATAACAATACACACTATAGTGTATTCGGCGAACGTTCTGTCTAAGTTCACTTCATATCAATAAATGAATATAACGAAAAGCGAAAAATTTTATGAAATGTACGAAATATCTGAAAATATGGTAGTGAGTAAGTGACAAGAATTTTTGTAAGTAATTCCCTTAAAACACAATCGTTTTTCGAAAAACTATATGTATTCTGAAAGAGAAGTGGAGAATATTTCTATGAAAAAATCTCAATTTTTCGCTTCTTTTCAAAAAATAGTTTTCTGATTGAGGGGGAAAGCTTAGTTAATCCATGATGAGTGGTTTTTTAAACATTTTAACTCGTATTTATGATCACTATGCCAAATGTAGATGCTGTAACCTGTTATCGATCCAATTGCCTGTGTGGTTAGCGCTACTGAACTAAGCCACGTGCCGTTACCTGCTCCACTCTTGTCGATCCAGCCAACTCTATGTATATCGCACCACTGGACCAATTGATCACGCCGCTATCTGTTCTTTGGTCGCCGATTCAATCCCTTATATGTTTGTCGCCATTCAGAAATTGATACGTACCTATCCTTACCTCACTCCGTCTTTGAATAGTCCCAAATCTTGGCTTCTACGGAGAGAGTTTCAGATTTTCAGCGATCGAAATTTCATCTTCTTCAATTGTACTACTGTCGTTGACATCAGTGCACAGAGATCAACACTAACTTTCTTCAGAAACAACAACACAATTAAGATTGAATTCGATTGTCTCAACCTATTAATATAATTACTTTATAGGATAAGAGGGTTTTTTTACTCAAATTCATTCGAATAATAATACCAACAAAAATTATAATAATCTTTTGAACCTCATACATGAAAAGATATTTTATTCAGTAATTTGACATTTGAGCTGACGAATAACACAATTTAAAATCTTTAAAGCTATTACTATGCTGAACAAGGTGTCGAACAGCAGACTTCAAACTTACAATCATCATTGACTATGATCGAGTATTTTAATATCAAAGGACACTTCATTTTTTAAAAATAGAATTCGATCCTATTGAACAAAACTGAACATGAAAAAGGGTGTTAGCTCAATGTAAAAAGAAATAAACACATCCTTATACAAATTATCTATTTTATAATTTCCATCGAAGAAACAAAAATAAAAATGATTTATTTAGTTGTTCTTTGTGATTTTGGTTGCATTCGTTCAAGTTTCCAATCATGTATTGAGATTATTTTATATGTAAATTTCATTGATTCTTTCTGATTTGAATATAAATGAAATTGATCAAGGAATTTCTTTAAACAACTAGAAAAATTTCGATTTTGAATTAATGTTTGTGGATCAAGTTGAAAACCAATAGAATATAATGCTTCAGTATTATTTGATTTATATTCAATTGTACTTTGTGTTTGAATAGTTAAATGACATCCTCGTTCACAAGCATTGATAAAATGTACTAAACGTGATTTCATCCATCCAATCCATTCATCTAATTCATTATTATTTTCACTTGAAAGTGTTAATTGAACTAGTGATTTTATTTTTTCATTTGGAAAATCATTATTTAATTCAAGAATTTGTTTTAATCCATTTAATTTATCTTCTGAACTAATTGTATTTATTGTATCAAGTAATTGTAGAACACGTTGAAAACTTTGAATAATTAAATCACGCATAGAATTTATTGTTGATCGACCTGTATTATTATAAGGTGGACTTGGTGATATAATACGCATCGAATCTCGATTATGTACTGATGATTTTTCTAATGGATTTAATTGTTTATAAGTTTTTGGATAAAGACAAAATGCTTGTGATGACCAATTAAAATTTGCAAAAGTTGAAAAAAATTGTTGAACTAATGAGAAAAATTCATCAATAGAAAATTGTTCGATTGATGAAAGAGATTTCATTGGTGGTAAATATGTATGACAAATATATGCACATAAAATAGCCAAAGAATAGCCACATAAATAACCGTATACTTGTCCATAAAGACCAACATGTTGAGCCCAAGTACGAATATATGTCAAGAGATATTGAAATATAGGTGGACAACGAACATATGTTAACAGACGTTCAATATCATGTACCTATAATGAAAAATATACCAATCGATAAAGCTTTATCATTACATAAATGATATTACTATCGGGATCTATTTTTTGATTCTTCATAACATTATTCTATTTTCTTATTACAATGAAATACATACTCTTCACTGTTACTAAGATTTAAAGTTCAACAGAATGATCTATTATTTATCTTACCCCGTGTATAGACTGTTGAGAAGAGAATGAAACGTTCGAAGATTGTTTGTTATTTATTTCAGTTTGTACATACATTTCTACTTTTGTTTGATCATTAAATAAAATTGATATTATTGGAAATAATGCTTCAACTTTTCGATAAAAAATAATTTCAACTTTGAGATTTCCATTTATTTGTGTTTCAAGTAGATTAACAACATGATTATGTAATGCATTTGAATCATGTTTTAATTGAAGAAATGATTTATCAAAATTTGTTTTATCATTTGCTAATTTAAGTTCATTTAAAACAAATACTGTATCAAGATCTTGTTCATTAATACCCTAAAATGAAAATATTTCATTAAAAAAAAAATATTCTTTTTAATAAATTATTTTATCTTACAATACGAAAACTACCATATGGTAAAAATGAAGTAGTAAAACAATGTAATGTATCTTTATAAAACATTTGTTGAAAACAAGATGAAAGTTTTTTAAATTTCTCTTGTTTTCGTTTATATGATTGATTTATTTCATAAAGATTCATTGTTTGAAAAAATTCTTGTAATTTAATATTAACAGAATTGATTTATTTAAAATTTATTCGTTGAAGTACAGGACCTAATAGTAATTGATAAGCAATATGAAACGGTGTTATATCATTATCATGTGGTCGTTGTAAAACGTAAATATATTCAACAGGAAATTCAAATGATTCATGCAAAACTACAAAAAATTTTTAAAAAATTTGTTATAGTTATTGTAATAGGAGTTTTTGAAAATACAAAACATGATCAAACTAAAGTGATACATTGATTTTTCTTTGATCTACTATCTCTCTCAACAACTTACTCAATGATGATTTCGCTTTATTAAATTTTTGTTCATTGTCAAATTGTCCAATTGTCATATGTGGATTATAAATAATTAATTGTAAAGCATAATGATCTGATTGATTAATACGTTGATTATTATCAATATTTAATGGGTCAATTAGTATTTTTTCAATACCAATCATTGAAAGATGTTCAATAGAATAAGAAAGATTATCTAATGTATGAATTAAATTTCGATCTAAACGACGATTTGTTTGTGATTGAGATGTAATATGAGCACAAAGATTAGTTGATGGATCAAATATATAACCAGGATTCTAAAATAAAATATTTAAAATAATTTTAATTGATAAAATAAATTTTTCTATTAGATAAATGTATTCATACTCTAATATCAATCAAAATTTGCAAAATCTTACCTGATCAAGATTATAAACATCTTTCCATAGATCATGAACTTTATTTTCATATGATGCCAATATATTTTGTGTTCTTTTAGATTATTATCGCCAAAATTAAAATCTCCAATAAGCATATAATTACTTGTTTTCATTTTTTTAAAAAGGTTTTCTAGAGTTTGACAACGTTTTTCATTTGCATTACGAGAAAGATCACTATGTAAATGAAGATTAACGAGGTCAATCGTTGCTTTAGTATTTAAACCAAATCGAGCTATTATTAGTTCTTTTGTTGTTTTCTGTTTTGTTACTGTCGTTGCTGCTGCTGTTTCTCTATCATTATCAGATAGATCAAGTGGACATATAGAAAATGATCGAGGTCGAAAATTTTTCATTATTATCAATTGACCATATGATTTTTCTTTATCACTATCAATGACATTTTTCATTATAATAATATAATAATTATTTTCTTGTAACCATATTTCATTTAAAAGAAGATTAAGAAAATTATAAGTTACTTCTTGTAAACAAATAATATCAGGTAAAAGTGATTTAAGTGTATCAAGTATTGATCGATATCGTTGAGAAGTATATATAAGTGCTGGTTGATAATAATCGAATAAAATATTCCATGTGACAATATGATATCGTTCATGAAGACATGTTTCATTTGTTGATGGAACTTTTGGATTATCTGATGTTAATGTTATGTGTGGATATTGAATAATCCATTGTTGAAGAGATTGATCAAAATGATAGAGACCTTGTACAAGAATGGGTCTTTCCTCTGTATCTAGGATATAGAAAAAACAAGGATTTGAATGAAATAAGAAAAAGAATATAGATGTTTTGAAGAGAACTATGAAATTCAATTCTTAATATGTTCATTAGTTCCCGAGGATATGATTGAAATTTTTTTTTTCAATGATACTAAGAAAATATGGGCAATATTCAAACCCTTATCTATTGATAAAGAAGAAAGGTGTTTGGAAAGAATTATTTATCGACAAAAATTAATTTTCGGCGAGTCCATTAAAGCACGTGAAGTATTCTTCTCTCGAAACATTGTATGCATTCATTGATTAAAAAAAATTAAGAATTATTATAATCTTAAGATTTTCTAAGATCAGGAATAGAGAAGCTATAATAGATTTTTTTTTCATACCATAAGGTGTTCCATTTTGTTGTTTACTACCAGTTAATATATCTAACTTTCTTGTTCGATCCCATACAATACATCCATTAATTTTAAAATATCGAATACGATGCATTGGAACACCATACTAGAAATAATTGAAAGATATTTTATGTATTCGAGTTAAATAAGCTTACTTCATGTTCATGCACTTTCTTAAATTCATTAAATTCAATTTCATGAATGCCTGTAAAACGATCTTCATAACCAATTATAACTTGTGATCGATCAATTGATTTATCATGTAGGATTCGATTAAATATTAAATCAGCACCACGAAATTTATTTGACATTGTTGATACATCTTCAACTGCTGTAGTTTCCATTGTTTTTTTTTGTTTTTTGCTTGGATTTTTGACTTGTCATTATATTTTTTAATAAATGATCTTGAATTGATTGAACAATAGATAGAAGTGAAGAAGATTCATTTTGATTTTGGATAAGTTCATCAAAATATTTACGAATATTTGTCAATTGTTCATTATTTAATTGACATTTATTAGACGATTTTGTTATCCGTAAGTCATGTACATTATTAATAGTTAATGGTTTATTTAAAATATTAAGTGAATCAAAAAGAAAACTTATTTGTATGTCATGATCGAGTTTAATACGAACTTGTTCATAATCTCCTGATGGTTGAATTTGGAGATAATCATCTGATCGTAAAATTGAACGAAGAGAATTTAGTTGATCTGTAATAGTTGTGATTGTTTTTATCATCCATGACTTTAGAAATTAATAACTAGTTTATAAAATTGGTTTGTTCTTCTTTCAAGGTAAGAACGTATAAGGTGGTTATATTTCATGCTTGTTTTTATAAGGAGAAAAACAGAACATTATGTAATTGCGCAGGTACAATTTCACAAACGTCATCATAATATATAGTAGTAATGATGATTACTTTTGCACTAACTACTTAGTCATTTTTGCGAAATTAAGTGAATCAGACCTGTCAAGTTGTTCTGTATTATTTAATGATAGATATCACTGTAAAATGAATATGTCACGTTGGGCTGTGATTTTTCTTGCGCACAACTCATGAATGATAAAAGAAAAAAAAACGAATTGTATTAGTACCTTGGATGAAGAGGGCATCTGTCAAAATCGGCTCTTATTCAAAAAGCAAGCAATAAGAATGCTAGATTTTTTTAAAACAATGCGCCTACTCAATCATGTTCTGCATGACCTGTCATGTGCGAGATAGAGCTAACCAATTTTGAGTTTTAAGGTGTCATGAGATGGTTTGATTACAATTTTATTGTGATTATCAGATGGAGAATTATAGTTCAGTTTGTTTTTTGGTTGATTTTGATGTTGGGTGGAATTTCATATGATGACATATGAGATATGTTCATCAGTCAACAAAATATATACTCTATAACATTTAGAAAACTTACAGCTTTTTGAAAAAACTTGAATTGATTCGAACAATCGACGTAAGAATGTGTCTAGTTATCAAAACTATAGAATCTTCGAAATTTGTAAAGATCTTTTCATTATTTCCCTTACATACAATAATTTGTGGTAATCATGAAACAAATATCATTCGATATGTTATTATTATTATTATCAATTGATGTACACGTTACTATCGTTCATAGATCTTGTCGGAAGATCAATCGAAGAGAGATTTGTAACGTTTTAATCATTAGATTAATAGTGAATATCGACAAGATGTGTGTGAAAAAATTGTTCGATCAATTCCAAGGAGAAGAAAGGCTTTTGCAACTTATACGTATGATTTTGCTATCGTTATTGCACGTTTTCTTTCGTTCTTGATGATAGACCAACAAGGTGTATCTACTACGAGAATGAAGAAAGAACATAGACCTTTTTCTTTTTTCTCTCTATCAACCACACTACTCGTGTTTCGCTTGAATTTACACAATACTTTCCCATATCAAATAAAGTGTCTTTCATATTATATTTTAAAGTAAGTACTTGATATCAACTAGAACAAATACATTAATCTAAAACCAATTCTTTACATCATCCCATCCAAGTAGCTAGAAGTTATGAGACAATCATCGGTAAGAAATATAACCTCAAGTCTTTAGTAATTGAATTTTGTGTACTCTAGTCAATAAATCGAGGATTTCTGTGTAGCACTTATACATTACAATATGAATAGATTTAGTATCGATACACATAGGTTTATCATATGAAATATCATTTGATGCACTATTCAAAGTTTCTGTATCATTCGTTAGCTCATATTTAGGGACGTGCGATTATAGTTAGGCATGCACCAAATCCAAACGGTTTGAGTTTGGCACATGCCTAATTATAGTACAGCCGAAAGACGATACACTCAACATTGGATTAGTTAATTTCTGAATAGTTAAACCAGCTTTACTTAGTTGTTCTATTGTATATTTTATTCTTAATTCGTAAATAGTGTTTTGAGCTCGAACTATTACTTTAAATTCACTTGTTTCATTGAGATTTCAAGCTAGCCTAGTGCCTTCATTTTGGAATTATAGGGAGAATCTGAAGCATGACGCTTCGTAAACTTTGACGATTCATCTGGTTAGTATAATGTTTTACAATAGTGGTAATTCTGATTTTTAGTTAAACAAGATGTTCGAAAGGGAAATTACGAAAGATACAGATACAAAAGGTAGCATTGAAGATCACTGTTTCTGTTCTTTCATTTTGTTCATCATAATTAAATTCGAATAACAAATCAGACGGCAGGTATACAGTGATAGAGTAGTTAAGGACACACACAAAAGAAGCAAAAAGAAATATTTCATCTGCTTCTTGAACAAATAGTAGTAAGTGATATAATAGTATTTTTAAAGTTTATGAATTATATTAATAGAGTTCAATGGTATCAGGAAGAAAAGAATGGCCAGAACTATTCGAACAATCATTTCATACAGCATCCAGAGCTATTCGAGCATTTGATAGTCGTAAGTCGTAACGACACTTAATAATTTTCTTCTTTTTTCTCGAACATTTTTGTTTTTTCACCATAGGATTAAGACCATATAATGCAAGAAATGGCGTAGAAAATCACATGTATGATCCATTTCGAGTATCATGTGTTACGAATAATAATGATATTGTGGTTGAAGTTCCATATTATAATTACCAACGATGGTATTAATATTTTGTTGTTATTATCGTATTATTCCAGTTTTAGTCTTTTTTTAAACAATATACAGTATGAATTGAATCATTATTTTATGATTGCTGTCAGGATTATAGAATATCCATACAGAGCATGTTTAATATTAAAGAAAAATTGTTCTGTTTTTATCTGAATAATATGCAACTAATTAGAAGACATGTTAAATAAATCTCTTACCAGAAGACATTGGCATTTAGGCAAATAAAAGATTGATTTTTAAAAGGGAAGAATGTGTACAAAAAAAACCCAGGATAGAAATATATTTATTTTTATTGATGGTTTTCAATATTTTACATCAAGTTATACGCATCTTTTCGTTTGATCTTCTTAACTTAACGAGATATTTTTTGCAATTTTGTACCAAATTAAGAATGGATTCTATCTAAACTTAATAGTTTTGTTAAATTATTATTTTTAATACGAAAAAAAAATTAATTTGTAAAATTAGTCCTCATTCTTTTTTACGTATACTTAAGAATTTCTCAACTTCATGAATTAAATACAGATAGAGAACGATGAAAGTATAGGTATGAATGATACAGAATAGAGAATGTATAGCCTATACATATTCTCCTTATATTCAAAGTTTTTAGCGAAAGAATAATTCTTATATCAAACTTTTACTTTTCGTCCACCTAAGTAATATGTGCCAAGCACAAAAGTATTAGTGTTAAAACTGAGCAAGTTACATACGCAAAATAATTATTATTTTAATTTTGAATATTCTTCTGAGTTTTATTTAATTCTTTTCTTAACATCATCATTGTTATCATCTAGCAAATTTTGTGTAATGAACAGTCATTCTAAAATAAAAGCGTTAGACTAAGTGACAATGAAGTTTTGTTTTCATTCGTAGAACGATCCATTTTTAAAACCATAGAGATTGTACTTGATATTAATAAGATACATACTCACGCCCCACATCCTTGAATATGAGGAATTTAAATTCAACTAGTGATCGAAAGCAATTATCCCAACTGTTTTTCGTTAACCAATACTCAAGGCCAAGCACATGATCTAACACAAATGGTACACACTTATATGGTCATTGTTGATCATTAGAGTACTGTCGATGTGACAGAATGTAATAATCATCGAATGAGGCGTCTGTCGGCATACATAATGGAAGAAAAACCAGTGGAACAATTTAATTATCCATATAAATTATATTAGATCGATAAATCAATCTTTATGTTGTTAGTGAAGACAATTAAAGGGTAGAAAATTCACAATGAACCAAAATTTTTGTTAAAAGAATCATATTGCACTCGAGTTATAATAGAATCACTTATCTATTGTTGCTTTCACATAATTAGGTACTACAATCTAAATTTTTGAGGCAGAGAAGTCAAAAACAAAATAAATGAGAGCTCTAGTGTGTCAGTATAAATGAAAATAATACCAAGAAAAATATCCTTCGCTTTTTTGTCAGTTATAAACAAATTGATTTAACAAGAATCTATTAGGTGAGATCAACAATAGTTAGTTTCGTTGTAATGAAATTTTCTTACAAGAAAGCAAATCTTTTTAAATTCTATTTTTCATAGCGTTATTTGATTGTATTCATACGGGTGTAACTAGAGTCATTATCATTAAATTCGTTTATGACATAAATTTTATATATTCCAATTGTATAATCTTTCTCTTGAAAGAGATTCTAATGGAACTAAATTTCAAGGGATAGGAGGATGTTAGGAACAAATAGATGTTACATTTAGTGACTATACATGTAAATATCAAAACATTCCAAATATCTCTATTCGTTTATCTTATTACTGAACTTGAATGGATGACATTATTAGTAAGATTGATGAACATTTTGAACCGTTCTATTTAATAGTTAATTCTACTACATCAATGATAATAATATCATCCTCATTACATATAATAAAAATAGTACACAGACATCAATTGAAAAACTTACATAAGAACATGAACGAAATTCTAATCAATGTGACTATTCATTATTTAATGTTGTATTATCGAATTATATTCAAAATGAATTATTATCAAATATAATTCTCAGCGAAAATATTTATCAGTTGAGTTGGTCAGTGGCGGTTTCAGTAAGACTTCATATCTATGAACATATTTGCACTGGAACAATGCTATCGAATTTATTTATATGATCTTCTGTTCATTATTTTGATCGAATATCCCCTTCTCTCTCTCAGAATAGAAGTTCATCCCTGTTGATTTAAAAGTTTATTAAAAAATCACGATTCTCGAGAATTTTATATGAAGAAAATTTAAAAAAATCAGGATTTTAGACGATAAAACGAATATAGATTTGATGATTTTGAATACTAATTAATTGAAATGCCGCTTTCAACCAACAACTTCAAGAAAAATATAAAAACACATTCATTTCGTATACTAAAGTGTCATTCTTTTTCATTTATTGTTATGCAGAATTCTCGAATATCATGAAATTGTTTTTCAGTTTTCAAGTTATTGAACAGTTCATTCAAAATGTGTGCACATGAAGTCATGAAAAAACTCGAACAATTTGACTAATAATTTTTGCTGTCTTAGACTCAAAGATCAATGCTCCTCAGTGTGTAATTACTGTACTCTATAATAGCTTTTCTCGTCTACTTAACATAGTCATAATTCTACTTTTAAGACACAAAATTCTGCATCCTAATTTGCGATATATGGCAGGACATTCTAAACGAGGAAATGAAAGAAAGAGTCGGAGTTGTTATTAGTTTTTTGAAATGACTTTTTCTTGCTTGTTCATTCACAAAAGATTTCAGGAAACCTTTTAAAAAAATTTTAATATTCTTTGAACATTTTTGCAATTTATAAAATTTTTCTCGAAAAAAACATGAAAGTTTGAAAAGTTTCGTTGACTCATATTTCCCATGCCTCCCTCAAGGTTTTTCACTTCGGAACGCTTCTAGTCGCGAAAATGCAAAGTCGTAGTTTTTTTTGTTCGTTTCTTACAATAGTAGTGTATTTTTTCTTGATAAGGACTTTCTGTAAACTGTTTCAAGAGAGAAAAGAATGGATCGTAATAGAAGCCCACTCCCGAACTTATAATTTTTAAAATGTAATAGAACTTCAGTAGGCTTCTATTGTGGGGGGGGGGGGGGGGTAATCAAGCACTAAAATACCGTCATTCTCAATTCGAAAGAAATAGTATTATACAATGGACAACATTCTTTAGTTCCTCCAGGCTCCGATTTATCTAGAGGAGAGTTCTAAAGCTTCAATCCTCCAATCCAAGTAAAAGTGAACTAACTACGTCGGATTGTAAAAATACAGTTTTCTCTTTACTGTAAAGTGTCAAAAAAGCGAACTTTAGGTGAATATTGTGCGTTGTGTTTACAAAGATCGACAGAGTTCGAGTTGTTGATCATGAACAACTAATTCTTAGTAGGGCTGTCAGTTTTGGGTTCCGTTCCTGAGAACGGGAACCTGCATCGGGTTCTGGATTCCTAGGAATTGGAACCCAGAACTCGGTGCGGATTCTCGTTCCCAGGAACGTGGAAATCCGGAATGACTTGCTCAAAACGAAAGAAAAACTATGTCTATGAACTTCGCCGTGTTCAAAAACGCATACAAGTGAATAGTCAAGCGCGTCCCCATTCCTTAGGAACAGGACTTCAAAGAACCAGAACCTTGACACCCCTAATTCTTGGTTTCAGTAGATGTCTTTTTTCCTACTGAAAAATACTGTTTTTCACAAAAAGTAAAAGTTTTGCAAAGTATGCAAAGTTTTGTACTTTAATTTGTTTAAAACGTTTTCAAATTTACTTTTTTCAAGATTCAGCATTTGCAACTGAATATAAAAACTTGGTTAATTATTTTGTGATCCCAACTAGTTTTAATATAAACCATAGAAAAAAATATCCTAGTGCATTCAATTCATCATAGAATCAGTTCGAAAAGTACAGAGCGTAGATATGGGCGTTGCAAATGAGAAGATCGATACTCACACCCTCGTTTACTATCAAAAACAGCATGTTCAGATTGTTGAAAAATTCTATTTTCTATCATTGAGTTGTCATTAGATTTTTAAGAGCCGAAGGAAAATATCTTAAATTTTATCACGAACTTTTGTCTTGTGATATGCAACAAAACGTCCTATCGTTTGATGCGAACTTTGTACATTCCTATAAAATGAGATTATATCATACAATTTTCATTTGAAAAATATATACACCTATCTATAATATTTCTTTAAAAAAAATCTAAAGATTTGTCTATAAATAGGCTTTACTGACAATACTTAAATGAAAGATTCAAACGGCAGAAAAACCAAATATTTGAAAACTAAACAGTACAACAACAAAAGAAAGCTTTTTCACTTATGTAACAGTTTGTATAACAGAGAAAAATAAAATAACTGCTTATATAATCACACTATATTTAATAAATTATGTGAAAGTTACTTATTATTGTCTAAAACTATATGAACGAATTTAATGAAAGAATTTTCAATTGTTTAATACTACGATTCTAATTGTATAATATTCAAATCGATCGAAAGAATTATCTATAAATTGTTAACAGCGTTAAACTAGACTACATCAGAATTTTAAATATATCTATTATCATCCTGAAATCTTGGTTTTTTTAGAACACTCGATTCTAGAGATTTTCAAGACATAGATCTTTTCTTGCGATAGTGTATATAAAACAAACAGTTTCTTTTAGTTTCATATAATGAAGAGACTTTGTTGAATTAAATAATAAATATTTTGCGTGTACTGACATATCATCAGTGCCTTCATCTAAAAGTTCGTAAGAAATATTAATATATTTATATATTGAATAAATATCTTCCAATCAAACTAACTTCAATTTCTTTATTTCATCACTGTTACAATGCTATTCATAACTCATTTACACAGCTTTTTTTGCATCGACAGTGTTTTGATTTTTGTCAATGTTTCTACATTTCCATGATGAATTCTATTGTGTTGAAGAAATTTTGCGTAGAAAATCGATTGCTCTGGGCGTTTCAGGGTGTGGGGTGTGGGTATTGATATGGGTGAAGAAAGTATCAAAATGTCACACCCACACCCACACCCACACCCACCCACACCGCCCACACCCACATCCCACACCCACCCACACCCTATTAGGCCAAAAATAAAAGAAACATGATTGTATAATTGTATATAGGATTTTTTTCTTAATCATAAGTCATCTGTGTTTATGGAAAGATATATTCAGCACCGGATGTATGTGGATTATTCATGAATGTTCTCATGTATGATCGATGTATCTCACGTAATTCATCACATAGACGCATACGCATTTTGGCATCATTAGCTAAGTGTTGACTTAAATGATTTACCATAAGTGAACGAACTTGAGCTCCACTCGGACGACGATTAAACGACGTATGAGATTTATCACAAAGAAATTCACACAGTGCTGGATAACGAGGAATTTGAAGTAAATAAGATTTAGCATTGTTATTTTTTTTAGCTTTTTGTCGAATAATAGCTTGCAAAATTACTGGTAAACGAGTTGTTTCATCATCTTTCTCTTCCTTTTGATCAATATCTCTATCAACTATAAGTAAAAAATAAAATATACATTATATATAATAAAATTTGAGGAATTTATGAACTATTATTCAACGGAGTGTATTCTATGTTATTTTGGTTTAATACTCAAATTTTGATGGATTCATAAAGATATAATTAGATAAAATATTAAATCATAATAAAACATTGTATTAAACTATTCACCAAGAAAATAATACATGTGAGATCTAGAAATGTCACGATCATGTATGTTTTAAGTGATATGCTATGATCTAACAAAGAAAAATAACAGGAAATTTTAAAGAAAAAGAAAGTCATATTTAAGCTAAAGAGAAACATTGAACTGGAAAATTATTAAAAGCTTGCTGTCTTCTTAGGACTTCCTCAAATACCTAAGATGTTCGTTATGGAAATATTAGCTAGACTAGAACAATTACGATATTTGCACATGATTAGTTAGAACTTGTTGAGTTTTAGAAAAATCTCTTTATTTAAAAGAAGAATTATATAAAGGAAATCGATTCGACTTTTTTTTCAAGTATTTCTTCTCTTGTAGAAGCTTGAAATGATTATTTTTAGACTTAGCACGTAAAGCTACGTTTAGAAACATGAATTCGAGATTGTTCTACTAGAATATGATAAGAAACGCATTTGTGTTTTGTTTGGCTTTTCTTTTTTTGGACAAATGATGTACAATTTAGAAGGGTCAAAACGATTTTTGGAAAGGTACCGTCTGGTTTTGAATTTACCGAGGAAGCACTGTAAGGAGGTCGCCCTTTCTGCTTGAAAGTTTAAAACTTTTCTCTACAGAAAATGCCCAAATATGAGCCGATACGATTTCTAATGGATTTCAAAACACATTTTATGACCATGATCACTCCTTTTTCATGAAATTTGAAACCTATCATTCGTGTCATCCTAAGCTGCCGACAGCACAGAAACGTATTAGATCTAGAGGACAGTTTCCCTAAAAACAGACAACAGTGTACAATAACTAATATATGAGAATTCTTAAATTATTAAGAAACTATCAACAGATCTATAATAATTATGCTAAAAACTGAGTATTGACTGTTAGTTCTCTTATAGTTCTAATGAGGCCACTATGGTTGAATAGCTACATGTTAATAAACAGTTGCTTTTTTGTCGTTGTTCATTAGTGGTTATGAAAAGCTCAAAACTTCTGCATTAGGCTAGTCTTGTTTTCAGAACTACAGCTAGCAATAGTTATAAGGCAGATATCGGTCTACTGAATGTATTACTAAGTACTACCAAATACCGAAATGTAGCCGAAAGGCATGTATAGTCTTTTTCTTTTTCTTTACAGTTCCAATATGCGTACTGGTTTTGTCGACCTAGCCATGTATCTTCGTTCATGTCTTCATTTGTTATAAATGTGGAAGTGAAAAATATTATTAATTGCGTGTTATGATAATTTTAAAAATCATGAAATTGTCGTGATTCCCTACCAGTCCTTGCGATGCACTTTATGGTCCGGAGAGATTTTTCTTCTTTCTTTTTCCAAGTTGGGGTTTTCATGGAAGAGAGAAGAGACAAAATTTGATTAACATGTTCTTAATTAACTCCAATAGAAGTCAGTTTTTTAATTTTTAAGATAAACTTCATTCGATTTCAATCTTTTTTTATTCAAAAAACAATTGTTTTTCTTCTGATTTTTATATAAATTATGGATCTGACAATTAGTAGAAATCGGCAACCTTTATTGTTCAAATATTTGAAAACTTTGAAATAAAAGCTGAACATTTATTCGATTCCATAGCATTCTTCATCTACACACAAAATCGAATGCAATATGTAAGATGAATGTCGATAAAGTGCAACAATATAACTAAGTCTAGTAGCTGATTGAATTCTTTAAAACTGATTAACAATCATTTTGACTAGTAAAAGTTTTTTGTTAACCAGTAAATAACAATATTCTAGTAAAAGATTGCAATAATTGGTGAGTTTGATCGTGTAGACATCCTTTTCGTTAGAGATATATATTTTTAATAGTACCATTCTGTGTTGACTTGTCCTGAACTAGCCTAGCAACAAATGACCTGTAACTTACTCCTCACTTGTTAGATTTATCCCCATCATATTATATTTGAATTGTCTCTAATTAATATTTCTGAATACGGTTTCATATGCTATACCTAAAAGTCACCTTTTTCGTCATTCGACAATAAGAATTTTGATTTTAATAGTTTTTTGTAAATTTCATTTTAAAGAAAACGTTAATTCATAGTTTTTATAGAGATCAACAAGCACTAGCATATCATGTATAAAAAAAATTATTCATCAAAACATTAATTTGAATTAGTATACTAGACCGACTCTCTACGACAAAACTTACGAAAAAAATATTCTCAAGTCTCAATTCGCTTTTTGCCTTGCGGCTAGAGATGTGCAGAGTTAAAGCTTTTAATCTCAGTTCTACTTATGTTTTTTCTAGTAGTTCGTAATTAAGTTTAGATAGATCTAGCCTAGTCTCAGCTCTTGAATTTTTTTAGTTTTGTCAGCTGCTGATCTGTAGAAAACTATTTCAGGATTCGTTCTTAAATTTCAATTGAGAACAATTTGTTTCATAAATTCTGTTCTTAATTTGAGCCGCTTCTTTTTTCCACTTAGAAATTTCTAATTTACAATCTAAGTCCTGTACATCTTTAGTCAAGAACATGTGTACAATGTTTATTTTAATATCCTATGAATACCTAAAAAAGGCCTCATTTTTAGAACTTACTCCTGATGAGATATCGAATTGTGACTTGGAATTCTATATAGATGTACACTCTAACTGACTTAACTTGCGTAAACAATTTCGAAATATTGCAACTTTTATATCTTGTAGATATTATGTTCGAAAATGTTTATACAGGCTAATCTTATTGAGATGTTTATGTCAATGAAATCTTCCTAAGTCATTCATAATTCATTGGAATCTGTATGATCTATAGTATCGACACAAAATCCTAATAATAAGTATACCTATCCTCTTGCCAATTACTTTTAGAAAGATAATAAAACAAACGAATGTTTTCTCTCGTCTGATAAAAGTGCTTATCTGTAATAATAAGAATAGTACATAAAAGTCAAAGAGACTTTTTTATTGACTTTCTGGAAAAAAAAATCATTACCTTCGTCTTTAATTTCATGTTCTGATTGATTATCATCATTTGTTGTTTCAAATTCATACGGATCTATTACCATGAATAGTTTATCTTTATTGTTTTCATCATTCATAGTATCACTATTATTGGCATTATCACCATTATTAATATTTTTACCATCGTCGTCTTCATGACAATCATTATAATTATTATCACACGTTGTTTCTAATCAAAAGTCATCTTTTGCTTTTTTTTTGTTTTTAAATATCGTATGAACTTACTAGTAAATCGATTGTTATTACCATCAAAATTGTCTGTATCTTCAATATCGCATATAATACGAGCTAAAAAGCCAATCTTTGAAAAAATATCAAGAAACTAAAGAATTAAACTAAACTAACGAATTTTCTTGTTTCTGCATCGTTTTATTATGGAATGTGAGGTCAGAGATGATGTTGAAGGTTTTTGTTTTAATTGATAATCTTGATAATCTGCAACAATGATAGAACTTTCACTATCATCATTATCATGATAATCTTGCTCTTCTTTTCTATCTTGTTGTACATCTCCATTTGATAGAATGGCACATTTACAACCTCGACAATGATGTTGACTTAATTGTTTTTTTAGTTTTGCATTAACTGCTATTAACCGTCTATATTTTCGATAGATTTTATTGGCATATATTTCATTTATTTCATTAGAAGCATTGGTTATTTCATCAGTTAATTTGTAAAGTTCTGCAACACGTTTTCGCGCTTTTATGTCGATGGCTATCGAAGGTAAAAAAGAATAGATACATATATGTATGTATATAGAAAGAAATA